AGGAGGCTGAGTTACCAAGGTGTTAGTCCTCGGCGAGTTGTCAGTCCTCGACTTGGCGTGTCCTTCCCACCAAGTCGAGATCATGCTGTCAGGCTGAGCTGTTCACCAAGCCAGGTTATGCGCACGTGTCCTTGGGCCACGGGGTCGGGCCAAATCGTCCTCCATCAGGTGGTTCCTCTGCAATTTGGGACCCAGTTATTAAGAGATTGGAAAGGAAGTTGGCTTCTTGGAAGGCAAAATATCTTTCTTCTGGGGGGAGGTTGACTCTGATTAAGAGCACTCTCCAATTTGCCTGCCTATTTCTTGTCTCTATTCCATATTCCTAAGAAGGTTGCAAATCAGATTGAAAAACTTCAAAGGGACTTCCTTTGGAGAGGCTGGGAGGAGGAAAAGAAAGTGCATTTGGTGAGTTGGGAGCAAGTTTGCCTCCCCAAATCTGAGGGGGGTTAGGTATAAGGAAGCTGAAAAATTTTAACTCTGCTCTGCTCGGTAAATGGATATGGAGATTTGCTGTAGAGCCTGATGCTTGGTGGAGATCTCTCATTGCTAGTAAGTATGGTGTGAGTTGGGGAAACTGGAGAACTAGGGATCCTCCTCATAACTGGGGTAGTTCCCTTTGGAAAGGGATTATGAAGACCTATTCAGATTTGGTAAGGGAAGTCTCAATAAGGGTGGGAAATGGTAATAGGACCAAATTCTGGAAGGACCCTTGATGATCAGATGTTCCTCTTGCTGAGTCCTTCCCGCTCTTATTTCAGTGTGCATCAAATCAAGAGGCCTCAGTTGCTCAGTGTTATAGCATTTCGAGTGGTTCAGTTCTTTGGATTCCCTCTTTCCGCAAAAATCTTTTTGATAGGGAGGTGGAAGAGGCAGTAAATCTCCTGTCATAACTCCAAAATCAAACTCTGGATTATAATTTGGAGGACAAGTGGTTTTGGAGGTGGAATTCAGATGGTCTGTTTTCTGTTAAATCCCTGGCTGCTTTGATTGGAAGGAGGGGTGGGTCTGATTTCCCAGCTCGGAAAATATGGAATCCAAACAGKCCGACAAAAGCATGCTTCCTTGTTTGGACCATGGCTCTAAATAAGTTTCCTTCCAAGGAAAACCTGGTGAGAAGAGGCATTCAGATCCCAGACTTGTCTTGTAGTTTATGTGGTTGCAGTATTGAATCCACTGATCATTTGTGTATCCACTGTCCATTTTCTGCTCACTTATGGAATCATCTCTTCAACATAGTGAAGATTAGATGGATGATGTCGAGGTCGGTTGAAGAGTTGTTAAACTGTTGGCAGATTAAGGGTTTGAGCAAGAAAAGGAAGGTTCTCTGGAAGCTGATTCCATTTGTGGTTATCTGGTGCATCTGGACTGAGAGGAATAGAAGGGTATTTAATGACAAGTCTCTTGGTCCGGAGGATCTATCTCAAAAGTTGGTGGGCAAGTTGGTTTCATGGCTGTCTGTGTCTGCTGAATTTAGAAATTGTAATGTATCAGATGTGTTATTTTCTGTTTCTTGATGGCACATGTAATTGCTGTTTTAGATCAGTCAGCCATTTCTGGAACTGATCTCAGCCTCCTATGTGTATCTTTTTCTTAATAAATATTACTTTACCTTTTCCAAAAAAAAAATAAAAGTAATTCTTATTTCCACATTTATTTTCGCACGTGGAAGTACCCAATGATGATGATGATAATAATCAGTAACCAAAGGGCCTTACTGGTTGAACCATTAACCTATTTAACCAGGAAAATGGACTATGATTAAGACATTAATTCATTTTTTTCTTTATATTTTAGTCATTTCTATCTTTACTAAAAATAATTCTCATTTTTTTACTCGAATCAATATTTATGAGATTCGGTCGAATCTTTGGATCAGATCAGATTTGAATATACCCTAATTCAAATTTGATCTGATCTGATCTATTTGCATCCCTAGCAAACCACTTGCCTACGATGACCTAGCTAATTAAATTATTGAACCATTTGGCATGGTTAGTCGGGTCATGTGTTAGACATTAATGCTCTTTATTTTCTATCCTATTTCTATCATTAATGAAAATAATTCTCATTAATCACACTTTTTTCTATGATGAATATATAATATTATAGAATGTACCCAAAATTATCGACAAATTTCTACATTTTCTAGAATTTTATGTATATTATTTAATAATAACATCCATATGACATGGATAGTTTAACCACTAACCCATAACTTTGATGGAAAAACCATTTTGCTTTTTTGATTGATTTTAAATCATGTATTCCATTTTCATCATCGATAAAAGTAATTTTTATTTTCACACTTATTTTTGTTTAATATGGTGAGTATATAACAATAGAATTGTATCGAAATGCTTTATAGTTTTCTTTGAGTGTGTGTGTGTGTGTATGTGTGTATGTATGTATGGATGGATGGATGGAAATGGAAATGGAAATGGAAATGGTCATAGATTGACCCATTTGACCCAGAATGTTCGATCATTGACCTACCTACCATCTAGAAATGGAAATGGTTTCATTTTCAAACTGGTTTTAAATTTTGCATTCATTTATATCATTGATAAAATAATTATTATTTATCATACTTATTTTTGTTTATATTATTAGTATATAATATTATAAATGTGCCCAAATTTGTTTCATATTTTTTGTACTATTCTATTTTAAAATTTTATTTTTAATTATACATCATGGGTTAACCTATTTGACCTGAAAGGTTGAACCACTAACCCACCCCTAGATAGGAAGATGGTTTAATTTCCCATTGGTTTTAAGTTGCATATTTGATGTCCATCATTAATAAAATTATGTCTATTTTGTCATAGTTATTTTTTAATATGACAAACATATAATAATAGAAATGTGTCCAATTTTTTTCCAAAATTTCTTTTTTTTCTATATTTTTTTGTATTTCTTATATTTTTAAATTTGCATTATTTATTTATGACATCATGATTATCCATTTGACCCAAATGGTTGAAGTACTTACCCACGACCTAGATGGAAAATATGATTTCATTTCTAGGTTTATTTGACAAATATATAATAATAGAAATGTGTCCAATTTTTTTTCAAAATTTCTTCTTTTTTCTATATTTTTTTGTATTTCTTATATTTTTAAATTTGTATTATTTATTTATGACATCATGAAATTATCCATTTCACCCAAATGGTTGAAGTACTTACCCATGACCTATATGGAAAATATGATTTCATTTCTAGGTTTATTTTAAAAATATAAAATTTCATTCTATTAATAATTATTGTGTATGGATTAGTGGAATTTAATGATGATAAAAAAACTTTAAAAATATTTTTTATATTTCTAAATTTGTATTATTTATTTATGACATCATGAAATTATTCATTTGACCCAAATGGTTGAACTACTTACCCACCACCTAGATGAAAAATATGATTTCATTTCTATGTTTATTTTAAAAATATAAAATTTCATTCCATTAATAATTATTGTGTATGGATTTATTATTGGAATTTAATGATGATAAACAAAAGTATAAATGTTGGATTCAATGAGAGAGAATGTGATTTATTTAATGACTTAAATGTGAGACTTAATGAGAGGTAATTGAATGTACTTAATTGTATTCTTTTAATTACATTTTCTGCCCTTTCAATGGAGATGAACTAAATTCAAGAGGAGTATTTCAGTAAAGAAAAATTCCAGAAGCCAATACCTCCTTATTCACACTTTTATAAGTAGTATAGATTTATTTTCTAGTTGCAGGTGTCTTAAGAATACAGTTCTGTTATTTAGAATTTAATTGCAATTTCAAAATTACTACTTATGGTAACTTTTGGACTTACTATTTATTGCAATTCTCCTAACTACTACTTTTTTAGTAAACTCATGATTTACTATTTTTAGTCATTTCTGGTGTCTTTAAATTAAGTTGGTTTTAGTGGGATTAGGAAAGTGTTATTAGAGTTGGGCATGGATCCGCTACCAACAAAATGCTCCCAAGAGGCCACTAAATCTGTACATTGGAAACATCACCCTTGTCATTCATAGGGAAATGTTCCCAATGTGCGGCTACAGTGGACAGTTGGGACATGTTGGGAGCGTATTGTTGGTAGCAGATCTGAAAATATTAGAGTTATGTTAGGAGTTAAGTCCTTATTTAAGTGTCCACATGAGTTACTTATGGATTTGTCTTAGTTTTAAAGCAATTATAAGTTGTTTTGGGTCAGTTTACTAGTCTAAATTGGAGTCTATAAAGGTGCATCCAAGTTCATAAGTTGACTTTATAAATAGTTATTGTAACTAGAGTTTAAGAAAAGTTGATTTAATGAAATAAAGTTTGGTTTAGTAAATTCTGGTTGTTGCCAGGAACTTTTACCTTTTTTTCACCCTCTCATGTATTTCTTCTTATAAGTGACCTATCTCTTTGTTATTTACCATAACAGGAAGAGTTATTCTCTCTCTAGCCTCTTAATCATTCTTTGGTGGACAGCAAGCTATCCACTTTCTTTCTACCCATATTCTCCATTCCTAATCACCTAAATCCTTTCTTTCACCCCTATAAAACCCACCACCAAATCCTAAATTAGTGGGATCCCTACCCCGTCCGACATCAGCTCTCATGGCTGACTTCAGGATTTAGTGGATAGGCAAAATACAATGGAATCTAGTTCCATTCGCCATTTGTTGGTCCATATGTAATGAAAGAAAAGGCAGAGTAATTGAAAATAAAGTCAACGCCAGGATGAAAGTTATAGGAAAAGCTGAAAATCACCTAACCAGATGGGCAAAGTGTTCCAAAGGACTTCAGAGAGGCTTCAAGTATGTGAATTTCAGCAATCAATGGAAGCAGAGAATTTTATTATTCTAGCTTTGAAATTCAATTGAGATTTTGTACATTTTGCAAATTTTGTGGACAATATATACCTATTGACAGGAGGAATCACTGAAGTTATTATGATAAGGTAAAACCAAGTTATAGATGAATTAGGAATAGTAATTTTAAGCTTCTAACCTTGCCAGTTGATTGTCCATAGCCAGAGTAGTCATACCTGAACAGACAAGCTACCAGAGAATCAAACACAAATGAAACATATCTGACGTAATAATATTGATTTAAATAAAACTTTCTAGGAAATAAGAAACTGGAGTGATAAGCAAACAAGAAGGTTGTGAGAGATTGCACATGTTTCAAGGACATTGCAAAGAACATTACAATTTTTCCAAAAGAAAAATATAACGCAAAATAAATTCAGGATCCGCACATTCAGTAACAATTAAATTCAGGAGACCTTATTAAGTTTATGTACTGCTTGAAGCTTTAGACAAACAAAAATATAGATATTCCATACATAGAATTTGAGTGAATAAATAACTTGTACCAAATGGCACAAGAGGGAAAAAAGCCTAGTAGAAAAATATTGAACAGAAGGTGAAAGTCATATAATCGATAGAATGTGGAATGCTATTAGACAGAAGTCACAGGACAAAAAAGAATAACTGAAAAAAATAAAGAATCAAAGGGAATACTTAATTCCCATACTAAAACAGGAACCAAACAATGTTAACAAAGGGCTACTTATCTAGCTGGTACCAGTAGCAATCTGTAATTATAAGTAGAGACTAAATTATGTGGAGACGTTTGTATTCTTTTGTTCTTATTCTATTTACTTCTCATTAGTTTTTGATTAGTTATAGTCAGTCAAGGGTAAGACTTGTCTTTCCATGTGTTTTTTATACTTGTATATAAGAGAAAGTGGCTGAGTGGGCTGCAGACCTGCCTATGTTATTCTTCTCCCTATACACATCTCTCTTTCTCTCCACTGGTTCTCTCTTCTCACTCTATTCTCTCTCCATTCTTCTTTACTTCTTTCTTTTATTATTCTTTAGAAAACCAACCAACTACAAGTGGTATATTCTGTCTGATCTTTCTTTAGAAAATTACAAGCATCCACAAGAAGGGACTTACCAACAAAACAGATTCTGAAACTACAAGTACCTTCCAAGTAACCATCATATTATGTACTGGTTACCTTACACTCAAAAAAAAAAAAGTTAAAAGACCAGTGGTGGGAAGAGGGATGCCATTAATGATACAATTGGGAAGCCTATGTGCCAGGGTGGAGGAGTTGGCCAACCACTAATATTTTCATACAATTTTCGTCAAGCTCTTTCAGCTCACATTTTCAGCACTTTTGGGAGTAATTAGGTTTCCTCCAGTCCATTAAGGAATCCTACATTAGCTGGCATATAAAGAGTTAAAGAAAAAGAAATAAGGCCTTGCAGGCTATTTTGTGATTTTCAGGATAGTTTGGAAGGAAAGGGAAACACGCATCTTTGACAATCAAATCATTTCTGGAGCTGGTAGTGTGCAAGGTTATTGAAACAACATGTTCATGACTTTCGGTTTGTAAAGAGTTCAGGATTTCCCTGCTCTCAATTTTCTGAATATGAATCTTTGTATATGCAACACATACAGCTGAACTAGTGAACTCACACTTTGGGTGCTTTGGAGCCCTATGTGCATCTGCGTGTTGTACAGGAATTATACCTGGAGCACATGCCTTAGTGTACTGGTGGTCTCACATGTTACTTAGGGTCCGTTTGGTTTGCAGTCAGAATCGGAGTGGTCTATTCCCATAGTTTGTTTTGTTCAGACGGGAAAGGGAATGGGAATTGGAATCAGCAGGAATGAGATTTCATTCCCAAGGGAGGGGCAGGGAATGGTCATTCCCTCAAATGGGGGAATGCCATTCCAGCAGGAATGGGAATGGGATTCCAATTCCACCCAACCAAACAGTTGGAATCAGAATAGCCCATTCCGATTTCGATTCCAGACCCCTATTCCTGTGAACCAAATGGGGCCTTACTGGATAAAATACCTGATACTGCATGGACACTTCTAGATGCACTTTATAGAATTAATACTTTCAGAATATGTAAAATGGTATATTTTAACAAGTTATACTATAAAAAATCTTCACATGCTAGAAATTTAATTAAATTTGGCATGACAGAAGTATCACCAAATGACATTTAGCTTCAAAAAACATATACAAAAGCATGATATGAGTATAGTATATTGGAAATCCGTACCTGTATCCATTTCCAAGATTTTATGAAATGGAGTCTCGTAATCCCATTTCCCCCACATTGATACAAAGTGCACTTTCACAAAACTTATCCCATTTCTCACAGGTATAGGTGCACACAGAAGATGCCTAGATATGGACACGGACAAGCATAAAGGAAACAGGGATACGACTCTGAAATTCTTCAAATCCAGGAAATAAAAGTAAATTTAAATAGCCCAGCTGATATGCCGAAAGAGTGCTTTTGTGGTTTTTTTGGGTCATTTACTAAAACACCCCCTATGGTTTCATGGATTTACTAAAACCTACCCTATAGTTTGTGTTTTACTAAAACATCCCCTATAGTTTGAGTTTTACTAAAACATCCCCTATAGTTTGAGTTTTACTAAAACATCCCCTATAGTTTGCAATCAATTTACGTAATCGACCTTCTATTAGATGAAAGTGGAAAATGATAGTTTTGAGTTTTGACCTTAACATCCATTCAAATAAATGTAATCAAAAGAAAATGAAAATGAAAAATGCCATTTTTGCCCCCAGTAAGACACGAACAACTACTCTATTTTGCTTTATCTGGTCAATTTTGTTTTCTATATGAAAAGGTGTTAGGGGTACTTTTGGAATAAATAGCCAGGGGCCCATGCCCTTGAACATTTCCCACTCAGTTTTAGGAACACTAAATGCAATGGCTATACCTTACCAAATATAATGTAATTTCTAACATTTAATTTTCTAAGAAATATAGAAATGAAATGAAACAAATAAATTGGCTAACAAGGAGCATCAACTTGAAGACTCAATGGGTGCCAATATCAGCAAATGGCTTGGCTGGCATCTTAGCTGAGCAAGGGTTTATTAGAAATCTTATGTTTTGGGATTATTTGTAACTTGTTTAATATATCTGAGTTAGGGTAGTAATCACTACCCTATCAAAGGCTGTTTGTATTCTCTCTACTTATACGAATTTTATATTAACGAAAATTTAAAGTTATCCATCAAAAAAAAACAATTTAATTTTCTACATGGTAGGATTTGTTAAAACACACCAATTCTATATATAGAAGTGCCCATGTGGCCATGCCGTATGTGCTGTAGAAGTTTCCAGGCAGTACCAGGTCTCACTTTCTACATAATGTCATGTCAAGACAGGTACATCAAGAATGTATGTGTATATAAGCAATTCAGATCTCCCACCCACAAGAATCCTACCCACACAACACTACAGCTGTACATTGGGAACATCTCCCCATGAATGGTATTTTTTTCTAATAATCCCTGTAGAGAACATTGATGTGGGCCCCACAGCTGTGGTCCCACTCTGTCCGAAGGGTAGAATGTATCTAGTCACAGCTGTGGTTATTTTRYTRTTYTRTTATTTCTAGTTTCAGTTTTATATTGGTTGTTATTTGTTAGCAGTTATGATGTAAACACCAAGGGCAGATATGTCCTTTCATGTAACTAGCATAACCTATATATATTAACTTAAAGTGGCGGCGGCAGAATATTGACATTCTGTTCTTCTCCTCAAAATCTGTGTTCTACTGCTCTTTCACCACTCTTTCTTCTACTTCTTCTTCATTTTCTCTTCTCATCGAATCTGAAATCTCTTAGTGGTCAAGACTGAATAGCAGTCTTGAAAACCTACAATCCCCATGAATGGTAACATGCAAATACAGGAGATGTTCTCAATGTACAGCTGTAGTGAGGCGTGGGTAGGTGTGGGTTGGGTTCTTGTGGGTATATAAGACCCTGGACCAATGAAAAGTGCCCAAATGCCAAAAGCCTCTCCCCAAAGGATAAAAGGTACTAGGCTACTAGCCCTTTGGGGGAAAATTGGTGACAGATGAGACTCAATAACAATACAAGGTTGATCATAGTGTTAAGTATATCCCATGTGAAGGGGCCACGCATTGAGTCAAAGTTCTCAAATGTAGGATTAACGTATTTTATATTATTCCAAATTTTGGAAAAGAATTCAATACTTCCTGCGGTTTCTTCTTTCAAAAATGACAAAAGTTGTAACTTTGAAATGTATGCAGTATGTCCCATCTGTCAGCCTCTCTGTTCAATAGGGTCCTTTATTCTTTAAGATAATGACATCAATGAGCAATGCCACATAAAAAATGTATATACAAATCCCATGCAAGGATAACCCATTATATGTTCAACAACATATGAAAATCTGAACAACCTAATAAAATGTTTAGACTTTCACTACAGCAGATTAGGCTGTGTTTGTTTGTGTTACAAACAACAAGAAATAAGTTTCCACCTCAAGCATCAAAAGAACATTATACTGCTGTTTCAATGTAAAACATGCTTACCAAATTGGACTCCTCTTCTTCAACAGTAGTAAAGGAAAAATACAGTAAAAAATGAACTTCAAAGATTTCTCCTCTGTGACAGAAATAGACCATCAAGGTCTACCATGTTGGAAGTATAATTATACACCTCATGGGATGAATTCAGAAAACAATTTTCTTTCATAACAGTTTAACTAATCTGTAATTCATCCATGAATAATCAGTTTCTATTTACCCCAATGAATCCAAGCATTTCTAAGCTTTTTTTTTGGCATATTTTGTCACCAATATGAGGTCAGTATAGCATCAAACAAACTGATGATCGAACTCTTGCCTCCAAGGACATCAAAACCAATTGAATATTCCAATGTACTAGTCTTGTTAAATGGTGCTTGCTAATATGTCAACAATGAAGAAGTCCCTTCACTCTCATCTTAATGTGTTCAACTGTTCATTTGGGGCTGGTTTCTATCGACAGAAACTCAATATGAAATTCCAATAATGATATGATGTCATAATTAATGTAATTTCCAAACACAAAAGAGCACAAAAATCCATTTTCCTTCCATAAGCAGTTGCCCGTTGTTAAACTAAAGCTTTAAGACAGCACAGGTACAGAGATTAAAACTTTAAGTAGAAACCCAACAATATCAGAGCATTTAAGCACCACAGTTTTAGAAATACTTAAGAAAAAAAATGCTACATTTAAAGTCTTTTTAAGCATAACTCTTTCTTGATAAATGGACTAGTAAAGTCAATAAAAACTCAAGATGATGGAAAAAGAAGAAAAATACCCCATGAGATTGATGCGGAGACGAAGGCTGAGTTCTACAAAGAGCTCAAACATCTGACCTAAATCAGCTGCGTTACCATGAGAATACAGGAGAGTCATAGTAGCCTTGGGATGCTTCACATAGGCGGCCACGATTTCATGGCCCCGTCTGGTCCGGAGCTTCAAGACATCGACGTCGTCGCGCCTGGGCACCTCCGGAATAATCAACCGACCGCCGCAGGATTCGTCACTGATCACATGGTACGACGGCGGGTTAGGAGGGAAGAAGGCGAATTTCGCGGCAATCGACGAAGTGACTCCGCCCATCTTCTTCGCATCAGAAACGTCGGATTCATAAAGCCACAGTGCGTTGATCTTTAGATCTCTGTTTTGGATCGGTGAGAGGTATCGAAACTCGGTGGCTCGTGTTGCAGGGGAAGCTTCGTGTCGAGGCTCTCTACAGGAGGGAATCTCCGCCTTTGAACGTTAAAAAGTCGCAGCTTTCCTCTTTCCTCTTTTCATTTTGGCTTTTTGCGCGAGTGTGTGTGACTGTGTGAGAAGAGAGGGAAGGACGGAGGAGGAGCCGAGGCTATCATTTGCTTTAGCTTTCACTCAGCTTTCGCTCCAGCCTCCTGCCTCCAGGACCAGGAGCAATGATCAGCGAACGCTACCGGCTACTGTTTCCTGTTTTTGTCGTTTTGACGTCAACCATTAACTAGGCGGGCCCGGATCTCCTGCACTTTTGTCCTACACTTTCCTTCACAGTGACAGCCTGACAGGTGTTCCATCACATGTCTATTATTCTCATTTACGCGCGTATAAAAGAACACTTGTCACAAAAATCAATGAAAATGCAAAAAAGAAAGCTTAGGAAATCCCCATTCACATTCACAGTGTCACACGCAGCGTGATAGCGGCTCGTAGTGCGTTCTACCGATTTCGGGAAGGAATGGGGACCACAAGACCTTAAAATTGAAAAGGATTATTGATTGGATAAGAAGATCAGAACCGTCCAAATCGTGGGAAATGTGAAGGTAGGATTATCACTACTCACTATTCAGAAGCGGTCAACCATGCACCGTTGGATATCTTATTGACGAAAATGGACTAACGTTCGAAAGCTGCTGACCGGTAATTACATCGATAACCAATAACGGCCGTTGCAAGGAGGACAACGGCTCGTGACGGTTAGTGCCGTTGTTCACACACTATTAACTGAAACAGTGAAGGAAAATCCATTTCGTGGACTGCATAGTTTGTTGATGCCGCCAAGAAGTTAAAGAAGTTACTCTCCAGTCTCCTCTAGTGATTCAGCTGATCATCTCTAGGATCTGCAAAGTGCAAACCCGATCCCTCGGCATCTGGGGCGGATCGGATCCATTCTCTGAAATCCATCTGAACCTCGCTTTCATCAAAAGTTTTGGGTTTCAGGCTCTCAGTTATTCTTGGCGGGATGGAATTTTTATCCTTCTTCTCGGTGGGTGAAACATAACTGTCAATGCCAAGTTATCAACGAATTTTTTTTAAAAATAGCCACGTGGCAAAGTTAATTAGAATAATAACATGGGGAAAATCTATGATACGGAAAAAGAATCTTTTCCGCATCGGATTAGATGGACCAATTAACATTGGACTTTCCTTTTCGGTGAATACAGTTATCGCAGGTTACCGGTTTCAAAAACAACAATTAAAATCACATTTAAATAAAAAATCATTAAAGATAAGAAAGACGTTAACGTATTCGCCGTTAAACATCACCCTCCCCCTACTCACCTGAGAGCTAATCAGGTGAAGGTGATTGTGGCGAGGGTTTCTTCTATCCCACTGCATTCCTCTGTAAATAATCAACCTACTCGGTTGCCTCTCTAACCTCGGCTGCGGAGAGCAATGGTTTCAGAAAAGAAGTTCTCAAACCCAATGCGAGAGATCAAAGTTCAAAAATTAGTCCTCAACATCTCCATTAGTGAAAGTGGATATTGTCTCACTAGAGCCGCAAAGGTGTTGGAACAGCTGAGTGGGCAGACCCCATTTTCTCAAAGATTAGGTACACCGTTCGGTCTTTTGGTATAAGACGTAATGAGAGTATTGCATGCTACGTCACACTCAGGGGTGAGAAGGCGACGCAACTTCTGGAGAGTGGGTTGAAGGTCAAGAAATACGAGCTGTTGAGGAGGAACTTCAGTGATACTGGATGCTTCAGTTTCGGTATTTAGGAGCATATCGATTTGGGTATCAAGTATGATCCTTCAACCGGTATTTATGGTATGGACTTTTATGTCCTTCTCGAACGACCGGGATATCGCGTGCTCGCTGTCGTAGGTGCAAATCTCATGTCGGGATCCATCACAAGGTCACAAAGGAGGATTCTATGAAGTGGTTCCAAGTGAAATATGATGGAGTGATCCTCAACAAGGCTCAGACGATAGCAGCTTCTTAGGGAGATCCCCATTAATCTGGATCCCATTTAAGTTTTGGCAAGGTTTGTAGACCAGGAATATTCGTTCAGTTTTATGCGAGTTTGTAGACCATTATGACCCAATCTGACCAGCTTCTTAGGCAAGGTTTGTGGACCCACTCGTATAAACAAGGTTTGTAGACCATCTTCTTAGGCAAGGTTTGATCAGGATTTTATATTGGATTGGGTCATATTGGCTCAGACAATATGATCAGGACTAGTAGTTTTGTAGGTGTTTTAGTACTTGATCCTATATACATATGTGATTCGTAAGCCTTTCTCTCTGTTTGGTTCTCCATTTTTATTTTTCTTAGGATATCTTTCACTTGCTTTTGTTCATATGTAGGTATTGGTTCTTTTTTTGAATTTTATAGAAGAAGAAGAAAGAAAATAGAGAGTGAGGGAGGTGAATAACCTCTTGAATGCTGATTGAAGGCATTGTGAATTTACGATTTCAAGAGGGAGAAATTCGACTAGAAGAGGGAACTGGAAGGAGATAAGAATGGGTAACGGAGGATTCCGTTAACAAATAGGTTAAAGAGTCTTTTAAGTTTTAATTAACATATAAAAAAATAATTACCGGTTACTTAAATAATTCCGGTAACTACATGGCAGTAGCAGAATTTTAGATATGGTATGGTTTTCCATATCATTGTCGGACCCAAATAACATGGTAGGCAATTAATCTGAAATAAGAAAAATAAATATCCTGTTTTTCAATTAATAAAAACCCAAGGGGCTGAATTTCTACTCCATGGCAACAGTATTCTATCTTTATAATCAATATTCATTCGTCAGCTAGGGTATCTCAAAATTCTCGATGGCGTATGCACATTTGAATGGATGGGCTGTGAGTCGCACGGAAATCCAAATAACCTAATTGCGAGATGAGAAGAAACTTGGGAAAAGTACGGATAAGCCCATTTTAGAATTCTGGAATCAAGGTCAATCCATGCAGAACCTAAAATGGAATTTAAATTTAACTTTTTCAATCTTATGACAAATTCCCACGCCAACTCAAAAACCTAGAATGCCGCTTAAACCAGTTTGTAATCGACTGCCAAAAAGGGCTACGTGCTTAGTGTGGCAACACATAGACCTCGAACTGGTACAGACTTAGCTGGAAGAAGGGCGGTACAATAGTTGCAGCAGCAAGTTCTTCCGTGATCTGCTACTTCTGTTCAATAAGGCCAACGATTTCTTCGCCAATAACTCCCCAAAATCTGTTGCTGCCATTGCATTAAGAGAGCTTGCCACTAAAGAGCTGGTGAGCAGAAATACTAGAAAACCAAATAGATCAGCTGATGAACCAAAGGAGTTGAAGAGTTCAGTGCAAATGGTTCAAACAATAATAAAGGAGTTGAACAAAAGAAAAACAGTGGAAAGAGTGATAGATGGAAAGATCAAGCTACCCAACAGGGTTTGGCAGAAAATATGCTACAAAACAGAGGAATCCGACGAAGAGAAGTGTTGGACGTTCACCTAAAAGGGTAATGAGACAAGCATCTCTGCCTCCTCCTGTATCGTCGAAGAGAGTGAGAGAAACGGTAGAAACAGAAGTGGTTACAGCAAAGTGAGAGCGGGAGAGCGAAAGCGAAAGAGAAATTATGGGTTTAGGAGGAAGAAAGTTGCAAGAAGAGGAGAGTTGAGAGTGGGAGAGAGAACGAAAGAGGAGGGAGAGCGGGAGAGATCTAAACAATGGGCCCCATCTGGGTCATTTTAATCTTCGCAGGTTAATTATTAATTTTGAAATTAAAAAAATAAGGGAAATCTGAATTGGCGTGGGAATGTGTCTAAAGATTGAAAAAGTTAAATTTAAAGCCATTTTTGGATTCTGTATGAGCTGGCAGAATTCTGAAATGTGCTTATCCGCACTTTTCCCAAGAAACTTACTTCTTGATGCCCAGACGTTATTCCGAGGATACGAAGATCCCTTTTAGAGTTTCTGAAATGTCAAAACTCAAAAGTTTAAGCTTTCGTAGTGGTACTGGACTACTGGCAACTGCCCACTGTGATTTGTCAAAAGAAAAAGGTCAAGCTTTCGGGGAGTACTGGACTTGTGGTATGCTTTATGGTTTTTGCGTAATCAAGGACTTGGACTTCTACCTACTATTTGACTAGGCCACGAGCCCAAGGATATTTCTGTCTCAATTCAGCTTAGAGCCTTGAACAGATGAATACACCCACGTATTTTACTGTATTCATTCTAACGGATAGACTTATCATGTGGTCGGTGATAACTCAGATATTATTCTTCCTTCTGAATTTAAACATAGAGTAAAAGATTAGTTGATTGTAATTCTTCAGAATTGAGTAAACCAGAAAATTAAAGCCCCCTAACCCTAATAATATTGAAAAAAGTAACAGGATATAAGCGTGGGTAGGGAAAACTTCATAAGATCAAGTGTGGGTCTGGCCAAGATCGAATTGGGTCAATAATGAAAATGGTAGAGAGTTCCTCAATTGGGTGGTTCTCCAATGGGGCCGTCGTTTTCCCTGGAAAAAGAAACTGAGCCCCACAAATTGCATTTTTACCATGATCACATCAAAAAAGAGAAATGCTAATCTCACATGCTTGTTGAGCTTTTAGTCTTTACAAAACCTCCTAAATATGACACCTGTCATCTCCAAAACCAAAAGTAAAGAACTTCATGCATGCCCTTTCTTTAATTTGCAGGTGTCTTGTTGTTGTTGTGAGTGCCACTCATGTAGAATCTCTTTTTTATTGTCTGTGTGTGTTTGAGTAATATAGAGAAATGGACAGCCCAACAAATCAACTTGTTTTGTCTTGTTTCAAGTTAGTGGATGTTAGTGCTCATTCTTAATATCTTTTTTTCGTCTTAACGAGAAAAATTATTCTTCACCAGTGACTAAAAAACAAGGGCGGAAATCAGCTCACTCGTGGAGCATATGCAATTAAGATATTCACTAAATTTTAGCTGCAATTTAAGGTATTCTCCTTTAAACTTTTGGTGGAGTTCTTGACTCTTCATCAGTTGGTTTGAAGGAGTTTTCTGTAGTCTATGATCAGTGTGGTTTCTCCTTTGTTATAAATACGCTTTCTGTTTAATCAAGAGAGTGTTAGTTCTCTTGATTTTGTATGATCATCTAATATGATTGTATGTATAAAAATTATTCTTCATTATTTACATGAATTTAGTGGAAATTAAATTTGACTGAACCA